TACTTTTATTTTTTTAACACAATGCTGCTTTTGCACAGCAAATTATTCCAGAAATTGTATGTTTTATGTATTGATTTAAAAAATATCTTGTAGTATTCGCTATCCTTTCATATAAATTACAGCGAAGATTAAATTTATTATTGACAATGCTAACTTGTTGGTGATACCTTTAGATGTAGATACAATGAAATAAATACGTAATCACACACGAAATAACAATTACATCATTAAATTACATCATTAAATCAACCAATGAATAACGTTAAACACACAAGCATGAAGTCTCATTGTGTAACGTCGCTATGTGAACCAGAATTACGTCAAGAACGTGCAGCACATGATGTTCACGTTGTGACGTCACGTAAGCGTTGTATAAACTAGGTTTTGCTTTTGTTTGCGGACGTTGGATCTGATCTATACGAATATAATGCCTCTAATATTTCGGAAAAGAATGGACAGACACCTGAGAGCCGGGGGGCCGAGAGTAGGGCCTATGCCTGGCGAGGACTCGACTCAAGTTATTGTTTCGATTGTGCGTTCAGAAATGCAGTTAGACAAACTATTCAGCGTTGAATGGGGGAGAATTACTGCTGACAAAGATCCTTCGCAAACCGGATGTGACGTCACAAAGGACTATATCCCTGCCTATTTGGAGGATGCCCTGGCACCAAGTGGCAGTCGTCTGGCGTTTCGTAATATCAAAAACGAAGCCACGGACCTCATGAAAAAAGCACGTGGACAAGTGCTCAAAAAGGCAGCTCTTCTCAATGAATGGATGAAGCCAGACACGCTGGAAGGAGCAAATAGGAAGCAAAAAAATAACGCGGTAGGACATATGGACATGCGTGTTAGATTGAATTGTAACTCGAATGCAGGGAGTTCTGAAGTTAGAGGGAAGGAAGGTATAAAATTCAGACCTCCTCGTCCTTATCTACGCCATCGGCCAGAAGAATGGGCTTGGTCCTTAGACACAAGACGGTCCGCACTCATTGCTCCAAAGTCTTGTAACAAAGTGGACGATGAATTGGTCACGTTGTTAGGCGATGACAATAAGGTAGAATTTCCTAAATTTATTCCTATTCAAGTTGACAATCCAGCCTTTGACCCCTTAGATACCAGGGCTCTGTTCCGTCCTTTAGACACTCTGAGCGTCTTGCAAACTCACGCCAAGGAGTCCGGAGCCTTGGCGCAGGAAGTCCTTCTCTGTGGTACGCATCCTTCTAAGAGTGTTCAATCTCCACAGTTAACGTCCACTGGTAGTCAGTCGCATATTGGTGGCAGCAAAAGTGACACTCTTCTGAGCACGCCCCCTTCAAAATGGCGGGAGACGTGGGGTTGCGCACCTTTAAAGGATCATTGGCGCCCCCCATCGTCAATCTACGATCAGAGATTTGATTGGAGGATAAATGAATCTTACTGTAAGATAGCCACGTGTCTTGAAGCCTGCTTCAACGCTGCTGTGTACATTCAAGCGACGGAAAACGACACCACACGCGGACTGCAGGCAGTAAAACACTACCTTGTTGTAGCCGCTTTAAGACGCTTCTTTTCCCCATTTGATGAGGCTGAGGTACAGTTTGTCCCAAATTTGCTGGCAACAGCCACCTCTCTGCTGTCTAACGAACATATGGTAGCAAAATTCGACTACGCTTACAGCAACTTGAACATGTACAGAGCTGTGCTTGCTTTACGGACAAAAGACGCAAGTGCACTTGTTCGGCATCCTGACCTTTGTTTTTTACATACCTTGGCGGCCATCTTGGAAATCGACATAAAGGAACTGCTGATACTCACAGTGCAGTTTGATGACATTCCGTTTGGAACTGAAGTTTAGATTCGAATAATAGGAAAATGCGGATAACTTGCCATTGATATTTGGTCATGTAAGGAATCCACTGCTATTCCCATATTATATGTAACATTTCCTTGTTTTATGTATCTGTTTAAGACGTCTTAATGTTCGTGGCATAGATGTTATCATCAACTGTTATAAGATAAACGTGCTTTTGATGTTATTTTATTTGATATAAGTAAGGAAGAAATAATGTTGTCACAAGTCTGATATAAATTAAATTTGAGAATTACAAACACTGTCTATTAAGTGTACTGTATCAGTACATTTGTACACTATCATATGTCAATAAAAAGTTAGAAACAAAATCGTTAATATCTTAAAATACGAACAAATGGTTTCTCCACGCGCGTAACCCCCCCCCCCCCCCCCGGTCATTGGAATATAGAGCAAAATAACCCTTCGTTATATAGCAAACACTTTGATATACTCATTCTTTATAGAAAACACTAGATATAGACTCTACCCGTCCTTTCTAGAAAACACTTGATATACCCATCCTTTATAGAAAACACTTGTTATACCCATCCTTTATAGAAAACACTTG